AACGCCGCCCGCAAGCGCCTTCAAGGTCTGGGGAAGGACAGTGCGACCGCTCGCCGGGACAGCAAAGGCGGCAGCAGCGGTCTCACAAAGAGCTCTGATCAATGGTCCTCGCCTGCCCTCCCGAAAATTCGTGCGAGGCGTGTCCATGATGGTGGCAGTGAAGCACCTCCACGACGCCAAATGATGACTGCCCCCTTGCGAGCCGGATGCTGAGGGCTCGGCCAAGTGCAGCCCCCAGGGTTTGTCGTAGTCTGTACGATGTGCACAGATCTGATTCCCATGGTGATACACGTGGAACCTCAGAGTTCCGTCTTGCACAAATGCTCTGTCAACGTTGGAGCAACGGCCGAAGGCGGACAATTTTTCAAAACGGCGTGAGCTCCGGGCGTGTCTGGCCACTTCCCGTCCCGGCCGAGTTGGGATGCTTCGTCATCGCATGTCACGCCGCCGGGACTTGGGACCTGAGGTGCCCGGATGAAGCAGCGGTTTCGACTCTTGGAACATTCCCCGTGGTCTGGGGCAATGACGCATTTCGTGGAAGAGTCGGGGCTGCTTCCGATCTCGATCTGCATCCTGCCGACACTACCTCCAGCGCCTCCAGCGCCAACGCCGCCCGCAAGCGCCTTCAAGGCCTGACAGTGCGACCGCTCGCCGGGCTTGGTACGTCCGGGGCGGTAAAGCACTATGCAGCCAGGATGGAGCGATGGAGCAGGCCTCTTCCACGGACTTGCTCCCGCCGTGCAAGTCGTGGACCTCTGGACACACACAAAGCTTGGCACGAAGTTGTCATCTCAGCTGCCAGGCCTCGTATACGAAATCGTGATCGCTCACGATGTCCGCTATCTTCCCCTGCACGTATCCCACACGAAGGACTTCCTGTTCTGAAAGGGATGCAACCCAAACAGAAGGTGGATGGTCGCTGCTGGCCTTCGCAGGCAGGCAGTGCAAAACCTGAAAAAAGACGGCCAGGAAATACAAATAGCCGAGAACTCGACAAAGCTGCGGACATACCCATCGACATCCTCTGAGATTCATGCCAGATCCAGGCCCCAGGGCTTGTCATAATCAACGCGGGTCGCGCAGATCTTGCCCTTCTCGTGGGAGATCTCAAACCTCAGCACCAGGCTAGGTGCTGCCGATAAGAAGGTTCAGCTCGGCGAATTTCATGTCGTAAGACCTTGACTTATCTGGATACTTGTCATGTCGCCCTTTCACGGATGCTTGGTTGTCACAGGTGACATGGCCAGGATCGCGCACCTCGCAGCTCCAAGGATCGAGCCGCTGTGTCAAGCCCCTTGAAAATGCCGGTAAGGCTGGGCTTCGGACGCACTTCCTGCTAGAGGAAAGGCTGCTGCCAATCGGAATCGCCACCAGTCCAGGAAAGAGCTGCGAGGCCTTGCGTCAAACATTCGAGTGCCAAGAACGCAAGAAGGCGGTCCTCAGCAGCGGCGTCCTGAAACTCGGGCATGGCCATGTCTTTTGCGTGTTCCACACCCATCTGGCAATACCGGCAGGGAGCTCTTGTGCACCAACAAGGACAAAGTCATGCTACGCTCACGTTCCTCATACTGCGCGCGCCTTTTTGCAGTTCACGACCTGATTCAACACCACTGATTACTAAGAGAGCGATGTGGTGTGTGAAGATGAGATCCGGACCAAGTTGCTCCCCCAAGGGTCTCTATGGTCCGTTCTTTCGGCGCAGACTTCACCGTGCGAGTTTGTGTAGATGTGGAACCTAGGGACGGGCAGACTCTCGAAATAGGCATGCAGAACTTTGTTGACGACTTTGGCGTCTTGTGCTGTTGAGTGTCGCGTCGCGAGCCCTGTGGTGCTGGTCGTGGTGTTGGCGGCGGAAGGTGGAAGTGTTTTTGGGCAGTGGTGGCACCACCACCACCATCAGTGCCACCACCACTACCACCACCACCACCACCACTCACCACCACGGCCACCACCAGCAGCACCAGCATCAACGTCAGCATCGTCGTCATCACCACCTTCGCCGATGTTATGATTATTGTAATCATCATCATCATCATCATCATCATCATCGGTCTTGTCGTCACAGCCACCACCATCGCTGTTTTCGTGCATGGTCGTTCGTCGGTTCTCCCTTCCGGCTCCCTCTTCCCTTCCTCGTCATCTCATTATCATCGTTCGCTTCCACCTCCTTTCCCCTTGCATCGTGGGCGGCATTACGGTCATGGTCTTCGCACGGTGAGCGCAATCTTCAAGTTTACGATGATCATCTCGACGTTCATGGCGTGGTCACGCTTGTGATCCTGATGCTGCAGGCGCATGGAGGACGAAGGATGACAAGGGGATGGTGATGACGATGCCGGTCACGAGGGACATCGAGGGACTGCACGAGCCACACCAGCCCCGCAAGAAAGGCTGAGAACTTGGGGGAACTTAGGGAGGATACCGCTAGCATCCCGAGCGGGGAAGGGGCCCAAAGGACCAGCGCCGGGCTGCAAGGGACTCTTCCCGTAACCGAGGCTATGTGGAGTACAGTCCGGGACCACGGCGGGGCCTGCAGTCGGAGCAAAAAGCCGCCCTCCATGCGCGTCGTGCTATATTTCGAGGACATTTCAATCTCAAACGCTCCTCCTGCCAGGCGAGATCTTCCAAGTTGGAGTTGTTTGAGATTTCCGTCGCCCCACATCTGCTTGACAGGTGCGAAGTGTAAACCAACGATGCCGAAGCTGCAGCTCGCCATGGTGACGAGATGATGCTTACTTTCTCTACTGCTCGTCTCCTCGTGATCAATGCTATACAACACGGCTGTAGCCATTGCACTATCACAGCCCGCTGCCAACTCTGCCCCCCTGAGGCAGGTACTGGTCAGGGTGCTTGCCATAGCTGTGTGCCTGGTCACGACGTGCTGCAGGGTCGCATCTCCGGACGACAGGGCGGGTCTGAGTTCGCAGTGCTTTCAAGTGACCCCGCCTGACTGGCAGTACGAGGACAGTCCAAACGAATTGGTGTTTTGACCTGGCACAGTCAGAGACCGCGGAACGGTCTGAGTCAACGTAGAGGGCGGTTCAAGAAATTCCACTCCCAGCTGGCTGAGGAGCAGACACACTTGAAGTTCGCATCATGACTGCTGCCAATGACTAGCTTCACTTCGCTGATGCCGCCCAAGTCCTAAACAGCAACCCATCTACGAGCATGGCAGACATGGCGCATGCTGCACAAGACTGGTGTCCTGCGCTTCGGGCAGGCCCAGATGTGCGCCAGACTTGGACACCGATGCCCCCTGTGATGAGTGCCGCAGGTTCTCGCTGTCAAAGACCCGTCACTGGTCTGGGAACTCGGCCCCCGATCACGAACCATGATCCTATAAAGAAGGTACACCGGTTGCTGCCTCCAGCTGCCCCAGGTGCATCGAACTACTGAAGGAGGACGAGGAGCCGCCCTGCAGCTTTCTTTTTCGATCAAGGTAGCACTACCATGCACCTCTCCCTTCACAGCTTCACCAGTGGCACAAGCGTCGGTGTTGTCATTCAGGGGGGCCATGCCAGATGTTCAAACAACGCGAAGTGATGCAGAAGCACACCTCCGAGTGGAACTCTGCGTGGTGGGTAGAGGATCCACCCTGTGGGCAGCGGTCTGGTAGACACTCTTCTCGAACGCAGCTTGAGCCTTGCCTCGTGGCTACTGAAATGCCAGTGATGGCTCTCAGAGTGTGTCACCTCGCGGAGTGTGTGTCCATACATCGTCATCCACTTATGCAACCTGGACCCAGCAGCATGCTAAGGCCAAGTGCACTGTTGCGGCTAACAAAAAGAAGCCAAGCCACTGCCGCTTCAGGGCTGTGATCACAGTCCACGACCTTTCCATCTGACTACTGGTACATTCAGCAAGCAGGGGACTGGGGACTTCGCAGATGTGCAATTTATTCAGAGGTCTCTTCATGATCTGCAAGCATCGCGTTTTCCTCACCGCGCACGGACCGGCTTTCTCTTGAACCAATGCAGCTTTCACTACCTTTCGCACGTTGGGGAGAACGTTCGACGGCAAAGCCCATCACAGGAGCGCCAGCGCCTCCTCCTTGGACACTCGACTGTCTGTGCTCATACGGAATTTTGAAAGGGCCAAAGCAAATCACAAAGCCTACCCGACCCTGCCCCGATGATCCCCCATGCACGAAAGTCTTACACTCAAACGAAATGGGCATGTCCTTGCACTTACCATCCTTCTCCAGAAACTCTTCAACGCCGAACAAGGCTTGATAATGGGGTCGAGCTCTCTCCATGGCCTCGAAATCGAAGTATGCTACAGGCCGAGAGCTTGCCATCACGTGTTGCATCTGCCGTAGCGAGAGGCCCAAGAAGAAGGTCAAATAGCCGCATGCAGCGGCCACACTCCGCCCCACGCCCGCGTTGCAGTGACTGTAGACTGTATGCCCTCTACGGATAAGCTGACCGAACAGAAACGATGCTTGCGGCAGCATTTGTGCACGTCCGTCAGTGGACATGTCAAACGTTGGCATCCAAATGTATTGCATGCCTTTGCTATCGTAAATACGGCTCACCGCCATTGGATCCTCCTCCATGCCAATGCCAGAAACACAGTTACGCTTGCAATCCTCCTCAGTCTGAAAGTTCACCACTACTGAGATGCCGAGGGACTGCAACTGGTCTATGTGCGAGCGATGCCTGGGGCATGAACCCACAAAGAGCTGGTCTAGCACCTTCCGAATTGATATCTCGCCACGCTCCTTTACCCCCTGATAAAACCGCGCCGTGTGATCGCTCTCCCCGCCGCCAGGTTCTGCAAACCGCACGACCGGCAAAAGGATAGCTTGTCCATCTTCTTGGGCTTCGAGCTCCAGAACACGGTTTTGGTGACCTCCCAGCTCCTCCCACTTGACACCGTCGTTCCCGCGCTCCACGAACTTGTACTCGATACGTTCGCTGCCGGCTTCGGGTATGTCAACATCCGCCCAGTGAAAATCAGGCTCGGATTGCAGCCGGGCATTTGCCAAGCGTGGCTTCATTTTCACGGCCTTCTCCAAGCTCCATTTTCCGAGAGATGCGCTGCTCCCAATCACAGCCAGTGAGCTGCCAGGCGGAGCAAAAGAGACCACGCTGAATCGCACCACCTTCATTCCATCTTTGGAGGACATGTTGTTCGTGAAGACTTCACTCCTACACGAGCTCTGTTCAATGGTCGCACGCCTTACAAACTAGCTACCTCTGAAGACCTGGGGTCTTGAGATGTACCCTGAAGGATGCCAAGCTTACAGAGCTCATTGTGCTCAGAGTTTCGAGGCTCAAATCTCTCGGCACAGCAGGCTGCACCAAGTGCCAAAACGGGGAAATAGAAGCGAACCCTGATCTGATTCAGGTTGATGTCATGTGCCTCCAGATTCCCTGAGCAGCCGGCCAAGTCGAATTTCCACGGGTCGAGGGTGGTAGTGCAAAGCATGCCATCGTTGTCATGGAAAAGCTTGAACCTTCGGCAAAGTGTCTCTCAGTTTCTTGCACCCTAGTATGGAAAAACAGCAGCTGGGGGAAGCACCGCACCGTTTTCCCTGCAGAATCTTCCTGAGCTGGAAATGCCACCAGATGGAGGATATAGGAGGGAAGACAAAGGGCAGCTGCCTGCGATACCTCTGGAGGGCAGTGATGCCCTAATTGCGGCTTGACCTGACGAAAACTACACATCGCTGCGACTGCAACTTCTCAACTTGGCCCTCGGTGGGTCTGAACTCCGTTCATGCCAGCGGCTTTCTGAGTGGCTTGCGCATTTTATGTTTGAGAAAGGGCTGCTGCCAATGGTCAACTTTGACGACTCGGCCTTGGAAGGAATGAGATGGAATGAGCCAAACCTGCTTCATGCACCGGCATTGAGCTCCACCCTGCAGCACCCGAGAACGACCAAGCTTAAGTTTCGGACATCCGTGTGCACCAGCAGAAGTACCAGTGCACAAAGCCGTAGCCGCACCTGCGGGAAAGCATCAGATGTTGCCATGCCATAGTACTGGTAGCTTGGTAAAGAATCGAACAGCTCAACTTGGCTATGCTTGGCATCGCTCATCTGCCGCCTGCATGCCGTGGGCCCAGGCCAAGGCACCAGGGCGCAGCATGCGCGGCAGAGCCGGCGCTAGAAGCGGGCTCTTGTCACAGCTGCGAGCCCAAGAAGGATACATTGCGTGAGGACACCGCACTGTCTGCCTGCCACTGCCAAGGAGAACATCCCGTCTACAGATTGTCTCCCACGTCTTTGTGTCCGACAACTTGCAAGCCCCTCTGCGAGCGTTAATCGTGCGCCAAGCAAAGGAGGCTGTGGCATGTGCTGTGGAGCTTGACCGAGTGAAGGTGAGTTGGCAAATCGTGGCGCCAGCCTTCTTTGCAATCTGGAAATCTTCATTAAATTAGATTTTCAGCCGAATTCGATGAGAAAGCCTACGAACAGCGCAGAAGCTGCTTCCAGCACCAGGCATTTGGCTTTGTCTATGGCACCGGCACGAAATGCTCCTGCTCTGTCCTCGACTAGCCATCAGCAAGGGGCTGAAGCCTTGCATGTTGCACGACACTTCATACAGTGCACAGCCACCGCCTTCTCCAGAGCCAAAACTCGCTTCGGCTCGCGGCTAGACTGGGGCCGCGGCACAACCACTCCGCCAAGTGCTCAGGCGTGGCCCCAACGTGAAAGACATGTGCTTCACCTTTGCAGATGCGACAGATCCCCCACCATGCGGTGAACTGATGCCCCTCTTTAGTGCAGGTTGAGGAGCGTCCAAGACCTCCGTGCTGTCCAGGTGGTTGGAGCCATCAAAGCCGCCCACCACCAGCAGCTGCTCGGAGCTCAGAGTCGCGGCCTGGGGGGGGCAACTCTGCACCGCAGAGGGCCGAGTGCACCTCGCTGTCCCTTTTTCGAGGCGCCGACTGCGCAGCCGCTTCGCCAGGTGCCCATGTTTGGGCCCGGCCTTTGACACTCAGTGAGGGAGCTCTCGCACTGTGCCCTCTGTGGGCCCTGTGGGCCCTGTGGGCCCTGTGGGGCCGGCTGGAAGGACATCTTCGAAACGTCAAGCACCTGCCGGTCCGATTGAACAGGAGAGAGAATCGTCAAAGCCCATGCGCTTCATGCACTTCCTTTAACCGTCGAAACAGAGCAAAACACCAAGGATGATGCACCGCATGAAAATAGTGAGCGTGACGTGAAGCGATGCTTGGTGAGCCCGGCCGTTCTCGCTGCCCCTGACCAGCCGTCTATGCGAGGCCTTTGGCTTTCGGGGCAAAACTTTATCCAAAACAATCAGCACTCATCGGAAACACACCCCAGACATGTGTATCAGCTTCCTGTCGTCTGTACACGCACGCAACCAGAAATGTGTTCAGTCGGATAAAGGCGTACCCACCTGTCCACACACACACACACCCTCCAAGTGGATTAAGGCAAAAGAAATGGCATAGGCATAGGCCTCGCCGAACCAGGGCCGAAGAGGAATCAAAGTCGTGAGTTTCCAAAACAGCATGCTCCGATTCTCCCGGTAAAGCTCAGACTGTTGTTTGCAGAAAAACCCAAGGCTGGCATTGTGGAGCATGAAACTTTTGGAGCGAACCAGCACAGCATTGCTGACTAGTTGGGGTCTGCATTTGTCGGAGGTACTACAAGATGATACAAGATCCCGAAGACCTGCCCTCTTCCCCTCTCGCCTCGGTGCTGTCCAAACTGCTCGAACCATCAGAGCCGCCCAGGACCAGTAGCAAGCCCCTCGGCGCCGTACCTGTCGCGGTCGTGTGCACATGCACGTGGAGTCACGATTGGAGGCACGATGAGGCGTGTACAACGATCTGGCATACCGCAGTCTGAGCTTGACGCTTGTGCCCGGCTGGAGGAGCGCAGTCGCGCAGAAGTTTCTGCGAGTGCTCATCCGGGGTCTCAGTCAAGAGCAATTCTTTGGTCATCTGTCAGGATGCCAGAATCTACACTTCCAGGTACAGCACCCAAACGAAACAGAGGAAATGGAAACACAACAGCAACGCCCACTGGTATGTCACGGTGTGCTCGAGCTGGAGCAATGTGAAGGGAGACTGTGCAGAAGAGCGAGATGCTGCGCTATACCAAGAGCCCAGCCCAGCAGAGAAAGTCATTGAACCCAGATCCAGCAGCTCAGTGCTGTCCTGCCAGACTTTGGCATCGCACCGTCGTAAACAGAAAAGATTGAAACATGAGAGTCAATGGCAATTTGGAATGGTTCAACGGGCAGACAGCTGCTCCAGATCGCTGCCGCCGTCGGAACCGCCAATTACGAGCAAGCGCTGGCTGTCGATCAGGGAAGCAGCGCAGGCATTGCGACCTGCTGGTGGGGGAGCAGGTTATTTCAGGTAAAGACATGCCGTAATTCTCACATTCCGAATCATTCCGAAAGGGCCGAGGCGAGGGCGGGTTCCCATCCTAGGTCCACTGGAGAAGGTCATCTTCTCCAGATCGAGCACCTTAAGGATCGCTTCAAGGCAGGACCCTGTTGACATGCCCTTTCATGTCTGATTGAAGCAATCTCTGAGGACAGGTCCTCGGTAGAGTCCAGCTCGCTGGCATCATCCGAACCACCGATGACCTGTCATCAAGGGCACGTGGGGACCAAAAGAAGCCTTCGCCAGTTGCTGCCAAGCAACCAGCAGTCGTTTCGCATCCAGTCTCACTGCAGCGCATGCATTGCGCCTCGCTGAACACTTTCAGAAGGGGCAGGGCGGTATGCTGTCTGTGTACGGCCTGGTGCCCATTCTCGGACCAGCACTGACCTCAACACGACATTACACATGCGTGATGATGGCAAAGGCAGCAGCAGTGGAGCCTTCAGCGTCACTGGATCCACTAGTTCGGTGGTGTCAAGGCTCCTGGCATTCATTTGCAGCGTTTGCATGTTGGACAGCAACGGGAGCATGCGACTGCTACTGTCCTGGAGCCATCGAAGCCGCCAGCCACCAAGACTCTTCTCTCGTCCAACGATGCAACGGCACAGCCGCTGCGGCCGACGCCTCGTTCGAGCTGACAGCATCCGGCAGATACCAGCTTGGAGCACGCAGAAGTGCTTGGAGAACCACCCATTGTCGGCCCCATGGAGAAGGTCATGCTGGCGGTGTCCAGGATCTGACAAATCTGACAATACCAGCAGCACTGAGCTCAAATGAAACCGGGATTGACCTCGGTGCTGCGATGATCGGCCGAACCGTCGAAACCACCAAAGACGATGACCTTCACAACAGACGCCAGGCGTGTGTTGCAACATGTTGTAGCTGACCCAGGGCTGCAGTCTGCACGTGCAGCCACAACTAGGAGCCATGCTCGTCCTGATGTTGCTAAGACCTGGCATCTCATCCGTGGGACTGAAAACTGTGTGTTTGAGCTGCGACGATTGAACCATGACGCGTGAACGTGTGGGCTTCCTATCTGTTCCTGCTTGTGTCAGATGACTGCTTGTATGTGTACCTTCCTGGTCACAGGGTTCCTGCGCCGACGATGCTACGCATGCTACGCATTAGGGGGCAAGGGCCGCGGCAAGGGTATGCCGTATGCCTCTGCGGCATCCGAGTCACATCTCAGGCCACGGGCTGACAAGAGTGCTTTCGACAAGGTGGAAACTTGTGTCCGCACGGCTATGTATGTCCACCGTCCCAGACTTGTTGCTTCTGTCATGGCGTCTTCGTTTCTCGGCTTCGCGATGTCCAAAAGCTCCATCACGGTGTCTCGGTGTTGCGGAGTCTCGGTCTCTCCCCGCCTTACGACTTCTATCCGATTGTGTCCCGGGGTAAGATGTGTCGTGGGTCTGAATCCTGGCGTCCAAGCTTTCCCGGTGTCTCGACATCCATTTGTTCTACCATGCGGTGCTTCGATGTTGCAGTTGCCTGGATTTACCTGTCTGCATACAGTCTCTTCGTTTTGCTGCTCTTTCGGCCGTTGTGTCGTGCCTTCTTCGGCCGGTTCGGTGATGTCCTGCGGGAGATGGTTACTGGTGGCAACACCTACAACGACGATATTGTCGCTTCTCTTCCTAAGCGCATCTGCTCATGTCTGCTGAGCCTTTGCAGTTTGTTGTGGATTGCACAAGGCACACGCTACAGTACCCTTCAACTCGCAACGAATACTCCTTCCCCGGACCACTTTCGCTGCAGCGATATCTAACAAAGACTAATAATAGACAGCCGCAGCTTCTTGTCCCTCCGCCCCCCACACCTGGGCGGGGCTCCAGGACCCTGCGTTGCAGGCAGACGATGCCTCCAAATTTCCAAAGCGGGGGAGCTCAGTGTGTTAGCAACGTTGGCACCTTGCTCGGTACTACACCTTGATCCTCGACCACGGGCGCCTGTCTGCAAAAACGCCATTCGTGAATAATACTGTTGAACAGCAGTCTGTGGCCTTTGGCGGTGTCATGGTCTGACTCTCTGCTGGAGTATGCACCTCCGGTTGTTGGTCAGCTTAGCATGCCACCCCTGCCACTTATATCTGCCGATGAGTACATGCTGAATCCCTCAGCAGCTTTTTCTTTGCACTGGAAGCTATGGGTCGCGGTGTGCCTCAGTGTCCGATCATGCTCAGCCGATAGAACTGCAACATGCCAGCAGCGTCCATATTCGACCAAACTCACCTCAATTCTTGCTAGCAAGACTCTGACAAATCAAGCAACTCTTCCAGATCGTCGTCGTCATCAACATCACTTTCCTGACATGATGAGGAGCTTCCAGAGAAGAAAAACGAAGCGGCCTCCTTGTCAAATCCCTCTGGCTCAGGACCGAACTTCCGAAGGCAAGCGCTCGCCTTCTGGCAAGTCCTGCGCTTCTGCGGCTTCTATGGTTAGAGCCACGATGCAAAAGGACCGGAGACACTCCAAGAACCGTGTCAGCGTGCCTGCCAGCTGATTCTGCGGTGCGCCGTCAGGTCCATGGTCTTTTTGAGACTCTTTCGGCCACGCCTCTTGGGAGCAGGACCTGGGATTCACCGAGACCGATGTTGCACTCTCGCTGGAACCCCAGTGCTGGGGTGGCTGCCCGGGTCTTCTGCCTGCTTCGCACGCAGCGCCTGGCGCAGCTGGCACCGACAAACATCGTCCAGTCAGTGTCTGACACATCCATCGGATACCGAGGCCTGGTTCTCTCTCTCCGTTTCTTCCAGCCTTGTCGCTCACATTAAGGCACACTACACGTTCAGATCTCGCAGTGCCAAGAAGACATGACTGATCGAATCCGACTCAAGCGACTGCTCCCGCAGGAGCCGCAACTCCTCCTCCCGCAGTGCTGTGTCTGGACTGGAGGTTGTCGTCGGTTGCAAACGCAAAGCCTCCATTTCCTGCAACACGATGTGTCAATGTCGTGCTCGGAAATAGATTCGAGCGGCTGGAGTCCCGCCTTCTGAAGACGCTCCAGCTCAGAGCGCAAGTGCGTCACTGTTGGGCGGCTCCCGCTGCGTGAGGCTGTTGGTACCGCTCGTTGCGTATCTTCGCATCCCTCAGCGAACTGTACCTAAGTCTCTGACAGAAGAACTTCCCAGGCCATACAGCAGGCACAGCACCCCGATCACCTAGCACGCCGGACGCAAACAAGCAACCGATGTTCCACCCCGCGAGGATGATCTCCCAAGCTCGGGCGCTGGTGAAGCACCAGAGGGTGAGAGACTTGGCTCCGAGAAGGAGCCTGCACCTTGCGCTTCTGGGACAGCGGTGACGGATGTGGCTTGGCCTTGGCCCGCCGCCACGGCTCCCGGCCCGGGCTCGGGCATTGCCACGAGTGGTGCAGGCTTCCCGCCTCCTGCTCGAGCAGCGGGCTGCACCGACTCAGAGTGTGGCTCTGGCATGTCTACGGGTCTGGTAGATGCTGGCGCCTCTTTGGGCAAGCCTTGGTCGGCCATGGGTGCTTGCATGCCCACTGGTGCCGGCGGTGCAGTCACCAGCTCCGGCATTGCTGCTGGCATCGCTGGCATGCACGGCATGCTGTCTTCGGTCACCGGCATCACTGGTGCAACCGAAGCAGAGCAGCTGTGCGTCTCTGAAGTCGGGACTTCTGGAGCACACTCAGACTTTCGGTCTGGCTGGGTGCCCACAACAGGAGCAGCTGCGGGCATTGGCTGGGCAGGAGCTGCCGAGGGAACATCTGCGACCTGGGACCTGGAGGTGGATGTTTGTGGCGTTGGCCTCACATCAAGTAGAGACATCTTCCTGAAGAGATCTCCCCAGTGCTTCTGAGGCACCAGAGGCAATCGTCGGCCTGCCGCAAAAAAGTCTGCTATCATCTCATCGGCAAACACCTCTCGGCACTGCAAGGCCTCGCCTCCGGCAAAACCGGTGAATCCGGTCGCAGCACAGATGGGGGGAGCGGCGGCATGAGAGGCCCGCACGACTTCCTCGTGCGAGCAGCAGCAGGTGGCACCTTGCAGCGGCTGGGAGGCCAGTCATCTTGACGTGTTTCTTCCTGCCTTTTGCGGCGCCGCCACTGGGCCAGGTCCGGCAGCTGGCCTTCGCGGAGCGAGAGATATCGAGAGATCAACGAGCGAGAGTTGCGCAGCGCTCTCGTTGCGCCTTCCAGGCCCAGGGACAGGACCCGCAGGACCCATGCTGTGCACGGAGAATTGGTACTGGTAGCCCTCGTAAGCGCCCGGGCCCGGAACGAAGCTCGGGAACCCGGGCGCAGCAGGGCCGCCTATGCCGCCTTTCGAATAGCCCTTGTTGGGCCAAGGCCCGGCTGGCACAGGAAAGCCTTTGCCTGAGCCGCGGCATCGCAGCTGTGTTGTGAGGTCTCAAGTCTCCATCTCCCCACCTGGGAAGGGGTCTGGGTACTGCGGGTACTGGCCGTAGCCCTTCGGCATGGCCTGGCGTGTACTCAGCCCTAGGCTCTACAGGTAGGCCACGGCAGGCCCTGCAAGGTCCGTTCATTTCCACCCGCCTGCGGCTGAGCGCTGCTCGGGCTCGGAGTGCTCGGAGGAGCTTCATTCTTCTTCGAAGAACCTGATCCCCATCCCTCGCATCCCCTCAGAACTCCACGCGGCTCCATGTTCTCGGCCCCTGCCTGGGAAAAGCTTTTTCACGAAGGCCATTGCCACGAGCACCACGAGAAGAGGTGAGCTACGACTAGGTGAGCTTCTGAGATCTGCTGTCTTGTTGCATGCGCGGGTTTCAGAGCTGCAGCAAAAGCGTCGTGGTTGTTGCGTTTCAAGTGGAAGTGCAGGCTTCACGACGCGGTCACTTTCAGCCGAACGGCTCCCATGCAGCCGACTTTCACGCCCCTGCTCTGACATCGAGGCTCGAAGTTTGAAGCATTTGGCCTGCGTCTGCCGAAGCCTTGCCAGAACACGAGCCGTGGGAGCGGTGTGGCTTTCGGCTATCTGAAGCAGTCATTTCAGGAGCCGGCTGCTGTTTCAGCTGCCTTCTCCTTTGATCCGAGCGCAGGGCACTTCTCGAGATGACCCAAAAATGCACACTCTCTCACTGACAACAACCACAACCGCTCAGCCGTGCAGCTCTTGCTCAAGCTGCTCGCGAGCTTGCCGCAGCTCCTGCACATGGATTCCGAGTCGCGACCTCGCAACCACTGTGCCTGCGCAAAGCTTTCGTGTCTCTGCCTCCTGCTCCCTCCGAATCTGGTCCTGCTTCGTAGCGAGCTCGGCCTGTCAGCATTTCGCCTCCGCCTGCCACCTCCTGCCTTCACCCGATCAAAAAGAAGCGCCTCTGCCTTGTGTCGCTCGCTGGCGGCTGCCTTCCCCACACATGCCCAGCAAGCCGATTCAGCTGCAGCAGCCAAAGAGCAATGCACCCCGCTGCCGAATAAGTCGAGCCACTATTCTGTCTTCCATCAGGGCGCGGCGGTCTGCCTTGCAATATTTTGAGCGACGCAGAATCTGACAGGGCATGCATGTGGACGAATGCTTGCAGTATTGCAAAAGTCAACTGCCTACTTGTAAAATGTGGGTCTTGGCTTTGGCCACATCGAAAACTTTTAGAAGCCCACGGTGGCGAAGCAGTAACAAACCAAAGTAGGACCAGTGCAAGTGAATTAAACACCCTGTCCTGCAAAAGCAAAACATGAATAACACACGATATCAAGCTTTCAGATGTCCTTCACTGTCTCGGCAGCCAGGAAGACGACACTCTCAAGCCTCTCGAAAGCCTCGTGCGGGTCGTCGCATCAAGCTGCTGCAGGACACATCGATTTTCATAGCCAATTGCGCTCCAGCAGCAAAGAATGCCTAATGCTTGACTTTCGACGGGAACTTGAGCCGTGATGTCAACCTGGCCTCCATCGCTTGCTCCACGTGGTCTCTCAGTGCATACAAATGAACTTTTGCGGCTTTTCTGGCCTGGCCGGATCAGCCGACATGGCTTTAAATTCCAACAAGATTTATGTACGCCTCACCTTGCCCAAAGTGTCATCGTCCATACCATCAGCTATCTGCATCAAGGCCACATGCGACAAGGCGAGCAGCAAGTCACGCCAGGTGCCCAAATCCGGTCCTCCTGGTGCCGGCCGTTTCCTGCAGCCCATTGATTTCGGTGATATCAGAGGACATCAGACAACATCAGCTTGAAAAGCTGCAGGCAGCCTTTGTGCAGATCTCCATTTGTCCCGGCTAACATCATGCCTCCAGGTCCCGGCATGTCGACCTGCAGCCAGGCAGAATCAAAAACGGCAGCTGATCATGCAAACCACTCATGGTCCTTGTCTGCTCTATCCGGAGAATGCAAAGTCTTCATCAGCCACCTGCCGACAGTGACACGGAACGGTCTCCGCATAACACTACAGCACTCACAATTCAATTTCTGCCCCCAGCCTTGAAGAAGAGCTCCGCCAACACCCACACCCCGGCCGCACACTTGTCGAAATGCAGGATCCGAGGTGAATGTTGTCACAATGTCTAAGGCACTGACATGGAAAGTTTACCAGTACAAAACCTAGCTGGTGGCGCCTGCACCCTCAGCGACTTTCGCGAACGCTGCATTTTCGTCAGAGCTTACGCGTCTGAAAAGGCTGGCATTGCAGGCAAGGGCGCAAACCCATGACCTGAAACAGCTGTAAGCTAATGCCTGCCATAGCGGCCTCAAGTCAAAGACACGTCCAGACGCTTGCCGGCCGGTTCGCTGGCCTGGTTTCCCCCTCCATACTTCACGATGTGAAAGCGTTCCTGTCCCCAATCATGCGGAAGGTCCTGGATCGACTTGTGAGAGCTGGTATCTGCGGTAGTGGATGTCATGCGAAAGAAGCAGTTGTGGTGCGAGTTGTGCAAGGCAATCACCCCATCGAACAAATCACTTCCAGGCACGACCGTGAACCGTTCATATGAGTGCATCGCATGATAGGTTCCCAGTCTGTGGTGGCAGCCCCTCATCGATACATACCGCCTGTGGTGTTCGTTGTAGAGGCCGATCTGGCCGTTCCCGGCGTCAACAACCTTGAAACGCTGCCAAGTCCACCCCGTGGGCAAGTCCCCCACGGCTTTGACGGGGCTGCGATCCATCCAGTGATCAGGTCCCATCGACAGGAACCGGTTGTGGATTGCATTGTGCAGGGCCACGACCGTCCCCGGCTCCAGGTATGGCTTGACATGCACGACACGGAATCGCTGCCATGTCCAACCGCGCGTGTCCATGCCAGGATGGGGATGGATACTCTCGCCCATGTGGGCACCATCCATTTGGACCATTCGGTTGACCGAGGGGTTCCAAAGCATCATCTCTCCGTCAACGGCCGGCCAAACTTCGAAGGACTCACTGCCCCACCCTTGGGGAAATCGATCAGGATTCTTGTGCGGGCTCGCTCCATTAATCTTGATGAAGCGATTATTTCTAGCGTTGTGCAGTGCAATCTCTCGACCGTTCTTCTGAATCACGGTGAAGCGCTCGTGGGTCCATTCGTCGGGCAGGTCACCACCTTCGCTGTAACCACCGGGTGCCAGATGGTTCTTTCTCATGGCAATGAATTTTCGGTGGAGGGTGTTGTAGAAAGCCACTGTTGATCCAGGGACCAGCTTCACCTCAGCGGCCACCACCGTGAAGCGTTGCCACGTCCAGTGTGCGGGCAGATTATCAACAGGGTCGGTCAAGCCGGCCCCACCGCCATTGTTGACAGTGAGGAAACGCTTCGACGAGCCCTGCAATGCAATCTGCCCATTTCCGGCATCCACCACTTTCCATTTCTCTGCGCCCCAATCGTGAGGAAGCTCGTTCACGTTTTTGGTAGGACTTACTCCACCTGCATGGCAAGCCCATTGAATTCAGTCTCACAATAGGTGCAAAGGGCAAGACGGGAAGGGCTCAGGCTGAAGCACGAGACAACTCTTGAACATGTAATGCGGACAGCTCCTAGGTACACGGACAAACTAGACTTCAAACATCTCGTACAGCAACCATGGCAAACTGTTTCTTCGAGAGCGGCCCTTTCGGTTCGAAACAACGCGAAGCTCTGATGAACTCTTGACTGCCTGCTCTGAAGATAAACTGAAAACCAAAACCAAAAGCCGCCCAGGCACTGCCGTGTGACTTGAGGAACTTGTTGTGGAGCGCATTGTGCAACGCGATCTGACCGTTCCCTGCATCTACTACGGTAAAGCGCTGGTGAGTCCACCAATCCCTGATCCCATCGGGACGCTCCTCCGGGCTGCCGTAGATGTGATCCGCCTGCATGGAGAGGTAGCGGTTGTTGTGCGTACAGTGCAAGGCAATGACGGAGCCTGGCCTCAGGGGAAGCCCCTGGACTCGACCAGCGTCCTCGGTGGAGAAGTCCCGCAAGGCAGCGATCGCCGTCTTCTTCGTTTCCACCGAGATCCAGGGGACCGCTGCAAGGATCACGGCAAACTGGACCCCGATGTCGGCCAATGGGATCCTCTTCTTTGGGCTCTGAAAAGGCCCGTAGCCCATCTGGAGGCCCATCTCAAGGCTGTTGCCGTTGAGAAGGCCTTGGACTTCGAAGTTCGTCATTCCTGGCTTCTTGAAGTTAAAGAGCTGAATGATGTTGTCCTTGCCCTGCGCCTGAGCCTCCTGCATTGCACTCAAGTGCCGTGCGGCATCCGCCCCACGCATCTCCCAGGTCGTGTTAGCCTCCATGGCATCACCATAGTCGACGGATGAAAGGTAGAGGTTCTCGGTCTCGGTCTTCCAGTACCAGGACTCTGCCTCGACCTTCTCGCCCTCCTTGGCATCCTTTGCTGCGACTTGGTCGCTTCGATTGCCGTCCAAGAGCGACATAGGTGCGAATGCAGCCCTGCTCTCACCTTTGGCGATACCAAGCGGTGATCTCCAAGTTTGGTAGCCCTGGCCCAAGTTGTTCTTCACGAAGTCCGTGTGAGAGCCAAAACGCTTTGCAAGCCGCAAGGTCCGGCTGAACAGCAGGTGATCGCCGGTTTTCAGCTCCGAGCGCAGGACGGACAAGTCCAGGCCGCCAGGCATGTGGTTGGGCCAGCACACGGTGGTGATCAAGTCAAAGAGGGTCGGCAAAAACTTGATGGACAAGCCGGCGACGAAGGCGACCACAGGCTGGATGTCGATCTTGAAGGTCACGGACAGGCACTTCTCGACGTACGTCGTTCCCGTGTAGAAGGAGTAGCCTTGCCACTTGTTCCAATTGTCCTGTCACTTCACACGCAATCATCAGATTTCTCTCACAGACAATAACGCACTCCTGCAGCACATTCACGGGTCTGCATCTCCTAAACCCTAAACCCTAAACCCTAGAACCACACTTAAAGTGGCATGCCAACATGTCGGCCGTGCCGTGAAACTCTCGGAGTCCTTCATCCAGGTGTTGTCGCAGGGCACGGCCCAGGGCTCCAGCTGCACGAAGTCCTCCTCCTTCGCCTTGGACCAGTCGTCTTTCGTGGCCTCTTGGTGGTTGCCAACCTTCGCCCCGTTCTTGTTCCGGGGAGCAAAGGCCAGGCAGGAGCCTGAATTGGCCTCCCTGCCATTGAACTGCGTGATCAGGTTCGTGGCACGGACGTCCTGACCATCTACCAGCTTGATCCCTGGGCCCTCCGAGTCAAGGCCGCCCTGCTCTTGCTGCCCCAGCGCCGAAGAGAACTCTAGAAGTGAGGGATGTGGCTCTTGAGAGTGCACCTCAACGATGAGGTCTCCCTGCTGATGGCGAACTGGCATCTTTCCGATCGCAGGGAAGTCGGACAAGCTGGCCCTCTGGATCAGGGAAGTGCCGCCCTTCAAGGCCTTCTTCACCAAGGCAGTGGCTGCCTTCGCAAAGGCCTCGACGGTTTCGGCGATCACGTCACCCAGGTGGTTCAAGAAGTTCAAGGGCGGCACCAGCCCGATGATCTTGAAACCAAGGCATTTCATCGTCTCCGATCCTGATTCGAAGTGCTGGCAGTGCATCAGGTCGTTCCCCATGGCCATCAAGCTCTTGATGGAGTTGAGAGGCGAGTTTGCAAGAACACCGACAGGACTGGGCAACCAGTTCAGTGGCGGTTCAAACTCCATGACGTAGCGAGACAACCGCTTGGCAATGCAATGGAACGTGTCGCCTCTGTTGCAGTGCCCCGTGTTCAGCACATCGTGGATGAAACTGAGTACCCTGGACACGGCCTCCGTACTTGCATCGGCAACACTCCGGATCTGCTGCGGCAAGTGGTGCAACGGATTGTAGTGGTGCAGCGGATTGGGAAAATGGATGCTTCTTCGTGGCCAGTGCGTATCGAAGAGAGTGATTCTTTTGCTGACAAGAGTCACCTCGCAAAAAAGTTTGCCGAACTGGATTTGAAGGTGTTCGCCGGCCAGCCAGGCATTCGGAGTATCGGTGCGGCAATTCGAAGAGAATTTGAAGCCCTTGAAGTTCATGAGAATCGTGGTTGCCATCTCGACAGTGTCGATCACTGTGTTCTGGATAAACTCCACTGCCTTGCCCTTCTCCTTCACTTTATTGAAGGCATCCCTCAAGGTATCACCGGTGAGGCCCGTGCCGTCGACAGCATCGAC